CCTCGTTTGTCATCTTATCGATCAACAACCTAAAATCATGTAGAGTTTTTGGTAGGTTTGTGTGAATTAGTGTATCAATCCACCTATCATTCATATAACAAAATATAATTATTTTTAAAATTATAAAAAAATGTATAATAATCTAAATATATAAACCTAGTTTATTTTTAATTACCTTTGAAGTAGTGGAAACTGAAATGGGGTCGGGGCTTTAAGAATCAGACATAAAAATGGCATTCAAAACCAATCTCATGATTGCAACAACATCAAACACCCTCCAATAACTTGTTTGTCTAGATCGACAACTTTAAAAAGCTCCAGGATAAAAAGGCTAACACTGACAATCCCCAACTCTTATTTTTAGAATCCTACAAAACACGTAGGTAACACAACCACATCAAATGCACTTTGTTTCGAGATTTATAAGGCATCAAGATCCCCCAATAACTCGTAAAATATGAGCAAAAGAAAATAAAAATAATAATTATAAATTAAAGAATTATTGTAAAAAATTTACAATAACATAAATAAAATAAAAAAATAAAAGTTATAAATAAAAAATCAAAATAAATAATAATCAATTTCAAAAATTGCATCCTTAATTACTATAGCAACATTGGGGGTAGGTGCGTAAAATTATCGTCCAAAAATTTAATCTTGATCTTCCCTCCATCTAAATCGCGATTGTTCGAAGGAATTCTGAGCATTTTCTCACACAAGTCGTACTAGTAGCCAATGACAATATCAATAATAGTTGTTTCGTCAACAGGCAATGCAATTATCATTGGAGGATGCAACTTCGTACTACTAATTATAGTGCTAACGTAATCAAAATCGGCTTCGTAAAAATACGAAAGAATATCAGTATGAGTGTCTTTGAAACGATTGATATAACACGTCATCAAATGTTCATACCCCTTCAAATAAATAAATAAATAAATAAATAAATATTACCTCTAGATTTATTCATCATAATCGAAAACATTCCTTCGATCAAGCCTCAGTAATTTCACTATAATAACTGAATAATGAAATATATAAGAGAAAGAAACAGAGATAGATAAAGAGATAGTTGCGGAGGAAGGTGTGATGACTTTGGTTGGGGGACCCTATTTATAAAACTCCTTGCACCCCTTTCGAAGTGAGATTAAAAGGACCCACATTCTATAAAACACGAGGTCTATTGAAAAGACGTGTATTCAGGTCAATTTCGTGTTATGTAGGACGTGAGGTCGTGGAATCTAATTTCAAATTTTATTTTTTTATGATTGTAATAAATTGCTTAAACATTTCAATATCTCATGTACCTCACGTTTTGTATAACATGAGTCATTTAACTTAATATTAAATTGTATAATTTAAAAATTGTTTTCACGTTGGAGGAGTCTTGCGACCTATAGAACTCGAGGTCTTTACATGCATTTTATAGAACACGAGATAGTACTACGTGTGCAGTTTGGGGGTATTTTTCCAATTATTGTTGTTTGGGGTTATTTGTCTAATAAATGAAATCTTTAGTTTCTTTAATAAAAATGTTGAAATGGAGGAAGAAAAATTATTTGATGAAAAGAGATAAAATTTACAGTTATATTGGAAGATGGTTGGAGCATTCGACGTTTTCAAATTTTTCATCCGTAGAATTTCAATGATGAAAACTTTGAAGACGTCGAGTGTATTAATAGTCTTTTGGAAAGACTCATGTGTTGAGACCGTCTTCTGTGGGATTGTAGATTTTCTCTTAATTGAGAGAATAAAAAGGCAAGGGCAACACAGAAAAAAAAATTACATGCCCTATATGGGAGTGGAAGCCTTAAATCAAATATTTTATATTATTAATCTCATACATTGACGAATATATGATTTTATATTAAGAAGAGTGAACTTTTAAATTTTAAGAGTGAACGAACTTATAAAATTATTAGGATGAACACATATTATCAATTAAAAATACAAAGAAAATATCTAAAATATATACAAATTTAAAATTTTAAGGAAGTGATTGTCTTCAATACCTTTTTAATCTATCCATGATCTCATATGCGCTTAATTTATGAGTGCTGATAAATTTTAATTATTTCCCCCCAAAAGTTTAATATCCTCAAATAACATTAAATCAGAAATCAACATGTACTTGATAGGAGAAATAACATTAATCCAATAAAATCAATGTCGAAACGACAATGTTTGTGGACGTGGTTAGCAACAAAACTTTAAAGAAAAATTAGGTTATATGCTTTCGAAAAGTTGAAAGAGACACGTCACGAAAATAAAACAAAGAAATGAAACATAAAAAAGCCTCGTGGCCATTCGAATTTGACCAAGTTCCAAACTTAAATTTTCAAAGAAACAAAAAAGAAAAAAAAAGTTGATGCTTTATAGTAGGAACGAGTGGCCATAACGATTTTCTTTTATCAATTTTTTTAATTTAATTTGTTTGAAGAAATCATTATGAGATGTCTTCGAATTTTTGAAATAGGTGGTGGGGTTCCACATCATCTCTTTCTACGTGTTCCTCTAATTTGATTTTAATTGTCATATTTTGGTTTCTATATTTTATTATTTTAATTAATAAAAATTTTTAAAAAAATATTTTAAAATTAATTATTTCTTATACTTTTTTTCGGTATTAAAAAGATATGAATAGATATTTAAAAAGATATATTTTAAAATTAATTAATTCTTATACTTTTTTTCGGTATTAAAAAGATATGAATAGATATTTATCTAAAAAAATAATGATTATTTTATTCTTAATAATCATTATTTTAATCAGTAGATTACTAGTTAGTAGCATACTCTGAACTGAAATTATTATGATCACTACCTAGTCATATCTATAAATTTAAAGTCCAAATTGATGTTCCTTTTATATTATCTATTTGCATATAATTTACATACTTTTTTATTATTAATTATTTATGCATTTTGACGTTTCTAACCATTCACTCATTTTTTTAATCTCTCATTTGTTTCGGAATACATGTATAAGAGTTCATAATGAACTCCAATATTGATTATGATTACGTTAGTTGGAGATGAACGAAATTGATTAGAACATATAATAAAGCAAATAAATTAAAGCTAAAAGAGAATAATTTATATCTCAAAGTTAATATGTAAAGTTGAATTAAAATTAACTAGGAATATTTAATATTTATTTGTAAAATATATTATTAAAATAATAAAAAAGATAATAAGTATTATTCATTGTATTTTAAAAAAAAACTTATTATTATTCAAATAAAAATAATACATAGATTTAATTTCATAAAAATAAAATATAAAGAATAAATTTTAAATTTTAAAATAATATTAAAAATTTTAAATTCTGCATCCGTCTATATTACTAGTATTAAAAGAATGGTTATATATTAAAAATCTTTTTAAAGTATTATAGTTTACTTAAACAAATGTTGTTAATAATATTTAGATAAGACGATTAAAAGCTTTTAGTTTATATTGTTTCTCTCTTCCCTAAATTATAAATTTAATACTTATTAAAAATAAAGTTTCATTTTTTTATAAATAGAAATTGCAATGTATATTAATATGAAGCTACTTAAAAAAACAAGAGTCGAGTGTCCTTTAGCAAAACTAGCCTGAAATGTGGAAAATAATATTATTAAAAATAATTATGAATATTAAATATAGATAATAAAAAATTTTAAATTAGTAATAAAAAGAAAACAAACAAATGAAGAAAAAAATAAGAAAAGAAAGGGTAAATTATGCCGATAGTTCTTATGTTTTCGGCATGTTCAATTTTAGTCAATGAAAAAAAATTAAATGGAAATTGTCACTATAATTATTGATTAGTTTGATTTAAGTTTATAACGCTATTTGATTTTATTTTCTCAATTATGTTAGTGACTTCAACAAAAGAAATATAAAATAAAAGAAGATTAAATAAAATTAATAATATAAAGATTTAAATTAGATAGACGATAATATAAAACACCATTTTTTCTTATTTTTTTAATAATCAAAATTAATCAAACTAAAAATAAAATAAACTATCAGCTTATTTAAAATAAAAAAACTCAAAATAGTCGTATATACACATGAATAAAATACAGCACATGACATGATTGATGAGAATGAAAAAAGGAGGACAGAATTTATATTTCTATCAGAGAATTGCACTCCCTCCAATTTGTCAGCCGCCGCCTAAAGCTTCTCTTAAGAGGCTCCTCTTCTCTTTTCGAAGTTAAAACTAAAACCCCACATTCAATTCTTTTTCCTTCTTGTATTTTCGATAATGGACGACGGCTTAGGGCAGTCGCCGCCATCAACTCTTCGCCGACGCAACTTCATCCCAACCCCCGTCCAAATCCCTGCCAAGCTAACTCTAGTGACTCCAAAACTTCTCGAATCCGCCACCAGCCTCCCAAAAGGCGGCGCCGCCTCATCTCCTCTCGACCTCGAGCTTATCTCCCTCAAAGCCTCCTTTGCTTCCTACACTTCACTCAAAGACATCCTCCCTTCTCCCGTCATGGCTATCAACTCCCCCACCGCCGCAGGATCCGCTACAAATTCCGGGTACGAAATCTCAATCCGCAACCGTTTAGTAAAACAGGCAGCTTGGGCTTATCTTCGGCCCATGTCAGCCTCCCCTGACGCCTCCGGCCCTCACTTTTTCCGTTGGCTTTGGCTCCAGTTCTCATCTCACAATCCCATCACTTCCTGTCTTCGGTTCTTCAACCTCAAATTCTTACCCGGTCTGACCCGACTCGTGAATCTGATATTCGGATCCATAGGAATCATCTTCAACAGATAAAAGATAAACGTTGCGTTTACACAGGAACAAGGGATAGAATATTCAATCAAGTGTATAAACTGTACGACAACAAATATATATATAAGTTACAAATAAAAAAAACGACTGAATTGATTTTCAGCTTGGGTTTTCAACAAATGATTCTGGCTTTTTTTTTCTTTTTATACAAATTTTGTTTGTTTATTAGAAACTGTTAACAGTGTGGAACCACATTTACCGTCAATCAGGTTTGAACCGGACGAGTTCTTCTACGAGGTGAATCATTGCTTGAATCAGATTGACCACGGTAACCATTTGGAGTGTATGGTGAAACTTGCTCATCAGGTTTCTGCAAAAGGTTTGACTTTTCTGAAATTTTCAATTTATGTTGATGAAAATGAAACAACAAATACATGTTTTTCTTTTTGAAGAATTTACCTGATTGGCTTGTTTAAACTTTAATGATTGGGTTGCCTTGTACTGAAGCATTTCAATGAATTTTCCCTGCCCCATAACTGCAAAATGTTGGCAGTATTTCCAAATGAAGTCCCATATTCTAGCTTTGATCTCCTGTATCTTTCTATCCACTTCTGTTTCGTGTCTTGCCATGAAAGGTCGAAGCAAGGTATCATATACATAACCCGTACCCTAAATTATCAAAATTTAAAACTTTGGTGTTGTCGATTGAGTTCAACATTTGTAGAAAAAAATTGCTAAATTTTATTGCACTACTTTTACCATTGTCTTAGGATGCCATAGGTAGACTAACATTGCAACCTTCATCTCGCCATACATTGGAAACCTTCAAGGATTAGTATCATAAACAATTAGATTATACTTGATAATTAGGCGGATCAGTTTTGGGTTGAATTGCATCATGTTTGTTGTGTCAATTTCGAGTCTTCTGGAGTTGATGTAATTCAGGTTGGAGATTCAAGTTTTCGAGTCAGTTCATTGCATGTTTTGGTTGCTTTTAGTTTAGATCAATTTGATTGAATCAATGCAAAGGTCGATTATTTTTTATGATACAATTAAATTGAATGGAATTTTGATGAGATTTGATAAGTCAATTTTCTAATGTGAATCACAAAATAAACTATATGAAAGTTAAGAGGTGTGACTATACCATGAGATAAACACTTCCCCACTCCACTCGAATACCATCAGAAACGCCATGAGGATCCTGTGAAAATACATTGCATTGATGACTAATGGACAAATTAGTAGAAGCCAATAAATAAATAAGAAACAAATACCAATATTGACGCCAAAATCTGAGTTCCTCGATCCCAACTTTGTTCTTCTCCACAGTTTTATAGCATTCAAATGCAGGATACGCATATCCAAGAAGCAAACTGCATGCATAAAATCATCGGAAGACAGCAGACACCAACAAATTCCAGAAAATTCAAACTACTCGTAATTTAACAACCGAAGAATATTAATGCAAAACCACAAAAATGAAAATGCGTAGTAAATTACTTACAAGCACTCTGTTAATGAAGCTGCCCAACATTTTTTTAAATGCAATATTCATTTTCCTGGAACAAAATAAATAGTTTTACATGAAAAGAAAATTCAATTTCTCTTCACTAAACCTTTCATTCATTGAAATTTGGCAAAATAATAGAAACCCCATATTCCCAACCGTGTTTGGAAAACTAGAAACACGAATCGCCAAATGAATTAATGGAAGTTCCCATCAACAAACGATCTTTTTAATAACTAAAAAAAAAGTGTCAACACCGTTTTTCGCCCGGGCGAGGAAAGACCAATAACGACTCGGGAGTTTTCTATTTGAAAATCGTTTCGATATGTTAAGAGTCGCCACCAATCATTTAAGGTGCGATTGAAACACCGTAAAAACCGGGTGATTTCAATAAAATATTTTATTTTAATAAAATACCGAGTTTTTTGGGTCTGCGAAAATGCAGAAATCAGGTTCGAAAGTCAGTTACGCGTGGGGAAGGATTAGCACCCCCACAAGCGCCCAAAAATTGGTACCTAGTTGATTACCATATATTTAAAAATGGAAATTTTGAGTTCGATATTTATTTAATTTGAAAATCATTACTGATGCAGAATTTGAAAAGGGTATTCGTTTATTGAGACTGATAGCATTCGCCCCCGGGCGTAAATGTGAGAGATAAGCTATTGTGTCTAACAACCGAACATTGCCTCGTTTTTAGAATATATGATGCAGTTTTGAAAATGATGTCGACTTATTTAGGGAATTATCAGTAGTCACCCCTGAGCGTGATCGCGAGAGATATACTATTAATTCCTTAATAAGTGAACAATGCCTTAGTTTTATAAAAAATAATGCGATAAAGCAAAATTTTATTTATCCTAATTATACTAAAAATAAATTAAGGCTTTTTCTAACTTACGGAGACAAATTATGAAAATTAAAGAACCTAGAGACTTAAATCTAAAAACGTATGTTCTAATATTAATCCTATTTAATTTTAATTAATTATTGAATCGAATAACCGAGATGGTCCCTCGAGCGCTTACGCGAGGGCCAACTCGAATTATCCCCTAAATTAAAAGACTAGTTTAAAATCTAAGCTAAAATGGAGGCTCTATTTAACCTATTTAATTATGTCAATATTAAAAGTCTAATCGAAATTCGGGAATTAAAAGGGTCAAAATTTAAAGTACCGAGTTCTAAAAGATCTAAAAAGTTTGGTACCTAAATTAATAATTCCTAAAGTTAGGGGGCTAATTAAGGTCTAGTTCTTACCTAAATTACTACACTAAAATTTTTTAGAAAATTTTAATTATTAATTAATATTTAATCGAACAATTGATTCAAGTAATCGGGCTTATAATGCGAATACTCGACTCGAATTGCTTCCTGATTAAACTAGAGTGTTGTTCTAATTTCTAAGTTTGATTCGATTGTTAAGTTAGTTCAAAGAACTAAATCTCGATTTTAAGCTTTTGAAAAAAATAACTTAACCGAATTTAAACAATTAAAATAGCGAATAAATAAAAAACACAGTAAAACACCAAACCATAAAATAAAATAAAAGATACCTACAATCAAAAACTCAATTGCATGAATTTTAAATTAACAAACTAAAGGGAACAAATTAAACAAAAATAAGAACTCAATTAAAATAAATTAAAGATGCAAGGGCTGGACTAAAATAAATTAAAACCTAAGGTTCAATTCGAAATAAAACAGAAACAAATAGACTAATGACTAAATGTAAAACACGCGAGAAATATCATGAACTAAACAACAAATTATCCAAAAATGCGTAACATATATAGAAAAAAGGGAAATATACACATCAGCGCCTACAATAAGGGAAAATAACCAAATTAAACCCCCTTAGGACTAAAATGCAAAACACGAAACAAATTAGGGGACCTAAAACGTGAATAACTCATGAAGCCTTATTATATAACCCAAATTCATCTTTTTTGTTTCATTTTATCCCCAACTCAAAAAAAAAAAGCGCTAAAGCTCTCCATTATCCCTCTCCCCTCTTGGGCGATAAGCTCGTCGAATCCGAGCGCCGCCGCCTCATCCGTCTCTCCAGCCACTACACGCGGTGGTCGGATCGCCTCAATCAAACCCAAAACACTCATCTCTCTATGATCTACCCTCCTTACACCGAACCTCGCACCGAATACCCCAAAAACAACCTTGGATCTACTCGAAAATGCTCGACCTTTTGTATGCCTCGTGCTCCGGCTACCCTCGACGGCGGAGCAACCCCTACACACCCCGAAACTGTGAAACCTAACCCTTAAAAACTAGATCTACACCTAAAACCGACATGCAAAACTCTTATGAACCCCTATCTCTTCAACTTTCCTCGCCTTCGACCTACATCGATGACCTAACTCCGGTGAGACCCTTCATGTTCTCAGGTAATTTCTAGACTCTTCTCCATTTATTTTTTGTCATTTTGCTGGTTAGCTGGGTTGATTAGAGTAGAAATAAACACTTATTTATTTTTTTATTTATTACTTCGAATATATATATATATTAGCGTCACTATGCTCGAAAAAGAAAAAAATTATATTTATCTCATTGTGTTCTGTTTTTTGCAGGTGGAGTGGGATGTTGGTGGACGTGTTGGAGCAACAAGGTATGGGCAGCTCGTTGGGAAAGGTTAAGGCATGGGAACGGATAGCTTCTTCGGTGTTGATTGGTGGACTGAACGGTGGGTGCCAGCTAGGTTAGACCCGGGTCGGTTCTGATCTAGGCCGGGTTGGATTCTGGGTTTTAAATCTGGTTTAAAATTTGGGGTTGGTTTGAGTATGTTTGGGCTGTAAAATGGTACTCACAAAAAGAAAAAGGACGGAGAGAAGAAATGGATCGAAAAAGCAGAAATATAAATAGCAACTAAAACAGAAATCTAGGGAAGACAAGCTATTTAAAAATACTTAAGAAAATGAAGGTATTCTTTGATTCTTGCGCGAGACAAGGATAAAGAAATTGGCTTCTTTTCTGGAGGCGCAAAACTTGATATTTAAACTACTCAGATGAATAAACTGTTAAAAATATTACCAAATTGAAACAATTTGTATGTTAAAACAAATTTAGTAAGAAACGTGAAGAATCAATCTACCAAGTTGGAACGAAGTTGACGAGAGAACGTGAAGAATATTAGAGAGACGATGATCTCAGCAAATGTTTGTTGCATATTCTACTTATGTTTAATATACTCGTCTATTATTTTGTTACAAGGACAAATCAAATATGACATGTTACTCTTCAAAATTAAATCATATTTCTAAAATTAATTATTTATGAATATTATGGATTAAATATTATTTAGTTCTTAAAACTTTTTCGCACTTTAATACTTTAAGAAATTTCTTTCTTAAATTTGATATGGTTAATTAAGGGATGATGCGTAACCCACCTATCAGTCCTATCTGTAAATTATCAAAAAATAAAATAAAATGTGAGTAGTGATGCATTAATGATTGAATAATCTTAAGCTGAAAAATGTAGTACGTGAATAATATGCCATGTAGTTATTGATAATGTTTAATGCTTTAAACGCTATAAATTACTAAAAATTAATTATCATTGCATAATATTCTATATAAGAAAATGAGTGACTTAGTCATAAGATAAGAAATGTTCTCACTTTACTGTTTGATAATGATATTTGCGTAGTTGAAATATGTTGTTTAACCCTGGTTAGGAAATGATTGATTATATAGGGCCTATGGGCACTTGAGTATGATGGCCATCGTTGGATGTTCATGTTCCTTGACCTGATTACTATGTAGACACCGGAGTATTGATGTATAAAATGTAAAATATTTGTTTATTTGATTAATTGAAATTTACAAGTGATGAGTATATATATATATAAGATTAAAAAAAATTAAATCCCAGAACTTGATAAAAGCATCAACAGCTTTCATTAGGCGGTGGCGGCGGCACCAGCCCTCATGGCTGGTTGCTGGCCGCCGATTCTTTTCTTGCTTTTATTGCTTTTTCTTCTTAATAAGTTTGCTTTTAGCAACAAGGTCGGTGTTCGTTGCCATTGTTTCCTTTCTTCGTCTTTTAGCTTGTTTTGAATGTTCTTGGGTGTTGCTATTTGTTGCTGTCCATTGCCCGCTCATGTGTTTTGTGTTTAGCATTGTGTGGTTCTTGTTGGCACTCCGACCGGTGGTAGAGTGGCGAATTCAGCATTATCGGTTTTGAGATGTGTCCTAGGTTGAAGGAGGGTTATGCTGCAGTTGCATATCTCGTGTTTTGGTTGTGGAAATGAGGTGCGTTTCCATTGGAAGTTCAGCATGTTTGTGTGGCTCGTGTTTGCATTGTCGTATCTTTGGTCGATGGCGGAGCGTGGTTTGCAGTCATCGGTGTATTGGCGAAGGATTTGGGCTTCTTAGAGGCTTGTGCAGATGATTCTGGTTTGAGTCAGAGGTATCTTTTCATTAGTGGAATGTCAGTTTTTCGTTTAGAGAAAGAAGGCTTGGATCTCGAGGGTGGCTTGGATGGGCAGGAGCAGAATGTGTCGAGTAGTCAGAGGTGTGAATTATTTATGGTTTCTTGGAAGGTGGTGCGACGCATGTAAGAGTTATAGTGGATGTTTTGGGTGTCTATGAAGAAGGGGTGTTCGATGTTCCCATCTTTTCGAGTTCTGGGTTAGTGGAGCAGCTCGTTTCTGTCGAGAGTTTTTGCTATGCCAATGTCTACGGAATAGGTTTAGTGTTGGGCGTCTTTTTCTATATTCAAGTGCTCAAGGTTTCTTGAGGTTACTTTTGCTGAGGTCTCAAAATTCAAGTTCAAGGGGGCGATTCGTTTCAGTCTTTTAATTCCTAAGAGGTTACTCTTTGTGAAAAGGAAGTATCTCGGGTTCCAGGGTTGAGAAGCAAGTTTTTGTGTTTTTAGTTGTGGTAAACAAATTGGATTTAGAGGTGGGAACTTCCTTGGTGGCATGGAGGAGGGCGTTTACCACTGGTGCGTTTGATGGCTCGTGTTGTTGTAGAGGCTTTGTGGTGCTTTAGTGTTGTTTGATCCAGCTTAGGGTGGTCCTTTCCGGGTTGTGTTTCTGATTTGAGAACAGAGATAAAGCTGGTTATTCTTGTTTGGTTTATTGGTGCTCGTTTGGTTCGGTTCTTACTTGTTAGTGTAGTGTTTCTGATTCATTT